CCCATCTCACCATGCGAGTTGCTACTCACGTTGAGTCGAGCATGTGAGATCGCTACACGAAAGTAAAAATGGCTGACGGATACGCAATTCTTATCGCTATCGAAGAGTTAGAAAGAGCCGAAAGACGTTGTTTGAGAAGACAACGAATTTTTCGACCACGAGTAGATGACATTTATTTTCGTGTCAAGTCAAGTCAATACTAATAAAAAAATTTTAATTCATAATTGATAAAATTATACAGCAAATTTTTCCAAAAATAAAAAGAAGTATCTAATTAATCGAAAAAGAGTATTAATTAAAATGATAGTAAATTATATGTATAAATTATTAAAAGCGTAGACACTATATTAAGATTATTAATCAGAAGTGTTAAGTTATAATTAATAAATAATCTTAATAGACAAAACAATTTAAGAAATAGATCGAGGAAGAAAACTGTATGAAGAAAGGATTAAATTAAAATACTTTTTCCATTACACAACGGATTTTTTAGCTCCAACACACGCAATTAATTTTTCAACTAATTCTCTTCATAAAGCGAATTGTATTTCTTGTGAATTTTTTACTGTTAATTTTCGTATTATTTTTTACATATGTTACTAATATTTAATTTTGTTCTTCGTTTATTTTTTAAAATAAAACATTAGAAGTTTTCATTTTGTTTCTGCGTACTATATTGCTATAAGACAACTTTTAACTATAGCACGTGTAAACTAATTCACGTTAATTTGTTTACAACCTGTTACACTCAAGTTGATTGGTCGAATCAGTATAGTCGCAAACCCAGATGCATTGTAAATAATCCCATCATGCTAAANAACTTTTAACTATAGCACGTGTAAACTAATTCACGTTGATTTGTTTACAACTTGTTACACTCAAGTTGATTGGTCGAATCAGTATAGTCGCAAACCCAGATGCATTGTAAATAATCCCATCATGCTACACGACACACGGAACCAAGTGAGTATGACGGAAAATCCACGGAAATTCCCAAAATTTACAACTTTTCGGTCACTCTCGTCCAACTGGAAAAATGTCTATCTTTATTACATCTAATATTTCGAAGAAATCAGTCCCACTGTACTTGGCTAGAGATTGGTTCAGTTAGGAGATTCTGGTTGAAAGATTGGTTTTTTCTAATATGGAGATTCTGGTTGGATTGTGCCGGCACTTCGAAGTGGACTCGCCAACTAAAACAGCGGTGCCTGCGGTGACAACAGAGTTGTCACCGCAGGTGGCATCCCTGCCTTTAACCTAGGCGGGGGTGGAACCCCGCCCACTCGCGTCTCAACAGATAAGGCCATTCATACACTGGCCACAAGCTTGCAATTAAAATATCGAAAAGTGAAAAAAATATTTTTTCCTTTAATTTTTTTTACCACTGAGGTGCCCCCTAGGACTTAGCGCCTGGAGCGGCTGCTCAGTTCGCCCTATGGTAGGGCCGGCTCTGTTGACCACTAACTACACTATTGTCTTCGTCTACTTCCTGTTTCTTTTGTTTCCTTTCTGCACGTGGTCTAAATCTTTTCCACGAATAAATTCCTGAACGAAAAGGGAATCCCTCTGCAATGGGAACCCTACTTTAAAAATTCCCTAAACATAGGAAATAGTGTGTGATATTAGAAGATAGGGGAAGATTTATTAAAATTAAAAAATTAAAATTAACAAAAAAAGGGTCAGTTTTTCGAACGTCCGATTCCTTCGAATCGGAACGCCCTTAAAACTGACTCTTTTGTTAAACACAGATATTTCCTTGTCCAAATAATATGACTCATTTCTGAAGAGTTTCTAAATAATGGTCTTTGAAATTTACCTGTTTAGCTTTTAAGACTGGAAGTTCTGAAGGGACTTAAAATTTCCGTAGCTGAGAGAATGAGATGTTCAACATCGGAATTAAAGTTATGAAGTNAATACACAAATATGGGAAAGAAGAATGGATACCAACACTAATACAGAATTAAAATAAAATTTAACAGTCAATACAAGTAGGAACTTCAAATTTTTTTTAGAAATGAAAACTGAAATTGATTTGAAAAAAATACAAAATTTGGCAAGTACTGTAAAATTTTTGTAACAAATTATTTACATTCTCTCTTCTTTTTTAAAATGAAAATCCTCCTTCTGGTGGTCCGTCATTAGAGAATTGAAAGTTACCACAGACATCGGTCTGAGGAAGCAATTCATCACTGGTATCATCCTAAATTAAGAAATTTGTAAAATGTAAATATTTGTAAAAATAGAATAAAAAAGAAGTTATCTTTTAATTAAGCTAAAATTGTTCTTAAATTCAAAAAATAAAGTTTTAGTTATGGATATGATGAAAGTTTACAATAAGCAGACTATTGTACTTTTTAATTAATCAGATTTTCAGGATGCACTTATTAATAACATTTATTTATTTATATACACTACTTAAGTTATCAGTCAATGAAATTTGAATTTCCACAAAATATTAAAGGACTTTTAAAGTAATTATATATTAAACTTGGATTTCTATAATAATAAATCTTCATTTGATATTTGCCTAGGCTTTTTTTTCATATAGTAGTACCAGGACAAACTTCTGGCATTTCTTTCTTCAGTTAACTACTGTACTGAGGACAAATAATGATTAAAATCAATCAATATTTAAGACATTCACTAACAGAATGAATGCATGTAATCAACTACATACTGAAGACAATGGTGCAAAAATGCCTATCTAAAGAAATAAAACTGATTATCATTAATTGATACACTTTGGGACATGCTAATTCTTATAACATTAGACAACTGATTAGACAACAATATCTGCAATTATTAATACAATAAGCAAATTCTACTATATATTTACACATATATAGGTCACACTGTTCTACCCAAAATTTTATGTCCAACATTAGGGTGCAGTCTATACTCAAGATAAAAATTTTAAATTGTTTTAAAATTATTCTTAAGTAATTTATTATCATTAACTGTCTTTACATACAGTACCTTAAGACTTTGTAGCGAGATTATTTGAAGGTTTTAGACGAGATGGCAAGAAGTAAGGAAAAAGGGAACAAAGAAAATAAGGGAGCCATCCGAGGCCCCAACTAAGCAGTAATGCTACAGGACTATAAAAATTATAATCAATATCTTCATTTGAAATTGACAGTGAAATTTCAAGTGAAGAACATAACTGTCACTGCCAGTGTCACTTGTTCTCAGATGATGTGATACACTGCATTGTCTTCTGACCTATCCATCACATTGAAAATGGACACAACTTTCAAATTTTTGAAACCATTTCTTCTGGTATTAGTTTCCATGAAGTCACAATCCATTTGCACATCTGAAACAGGGACAGTTTCCTTAGCCTCCTGGTCAGTGTTGTCTCTGTTGCAGTGCACCTCCAATCATGGTAGAAACATCTAAGCTTTAAAAAAATAGTTGATGGATATATCAAGTGGTTGAAGCATTCCAGTCATCCCTCCCAGTATCACAACCATGTCACCTTTTTTTCCTCATCTTTTTAATGCTTTCGGTCAGATGATCTCAGAAGCTGTCAACAACCAACATGGAGACTTCCAATGTAACTGATGTAACCATGCACCTGGACGTCAAAACCACGCTGACTTCAGTCACTCAGCCTCAATCTTGAAGTCGTACTAATATTACAGGCAGGTAATGTTTCTTTTGGCAGGATTTTAGGCTTAAAAATGATGCAAGATGGCAGCTTGTTTCTGTCAGAGGAAATGCATAGCATTACAGTACAACGCTGCTTTTCTGCTTCCACTAGGATGGTTTTTACACTTGCATGATTGACTGTAGTGTCACTTGGCATATCAAAGAAGACAAGAGTTTCGTCAGCATTGCCCATTGCCTGTAATTCATAGCCAAGTTTCTTTCTTAAGCTGATGATATGTTTCTGAAATGCAAGCAATTTCTCTTCATAGGTGTCAGGAAGCCATTTTGGCATTTAACTTCAATGACACAATGGCTCCCTGACACCTCATATGCATAAAACATCTTGTAGTGTTCACTTTTGGGAATTTTCATATTTTGAGCAATCCTTTGGGCTTTGAACTGAATTATTTCAACAGATATAGAAAATCCATTTGCCAGAATTTTACTGATATATCTAAACAGATTTGCTTCCAGATTGGGATATTTTGCAAAACAATTGCCAATTTTGTAATGTATTCCCAAGAGCATCCTTTGTTTGAATCCATCACTACACTTTTTTCATCTACATAAAACTTCCTTCCTGCTGTTCAATATCTCTTTTCTTGTGCATAATGCACCACTTGCAATTTAAACTCCACTGTGTAACTCACTCAACCCATGTTTAACATGCACTGAGCAAGCTCTCAACAATAAGCATTAACCATCACTTCATTCCTATTTGAAATTTGCAGTGTTGCCCTATTTCAGTATACCCATGTCTCTACTCTTGTCCCTCAGAAGAACTAAGATTTTAATTTTTTCCCTATATATCATTTCTTAAACTGGGTTTGACCTATACATGCATAAATATGGTATTGCTCTCCAGAACAAAAAATTAAATGAAAAAATTTTAAGATGCAATATCAATTTTCTAAAAATGTTCATATATTTTCAGTTTTAATCTACAACAATATAAATACTAAAATAAATGAATTTATGCTTTCCCAGCACTACTTTTTGAATATACAATGGCATTTAACCTGATAGAGCCCACATTTTAATTAACACAAACCCATGAAACATTGTCAAGTCCGCATATGCTCACAATATCTCAAGAATAATAACATTTTATTTTGTTAAAATTAAAATAGGTCAAAATTATTCTTGCATAAAATTTATACCAAAAACCAACCAACTTAGGCCATAGGCATGGAGAAAAGATCTGCCCAAAATTGATACCCTGTAGTTATATTTGTGAGCCCGTGGATTTTTAAGGGACTCTTAAAAATTTGAATTTTATTTTAAGTGTAAATATCTTCAGAAAAAACCCGAGGAATTTGAACTGGATCGGATTTCACCGATTGTATAACAATTAGATGGGAAAGTTTACACTTAGGTGTGAAGAATGCATCATCATCATCAACAAAAGTCAATCACTTGTCAGTTTTCCCATGCTTGAATCTCTGGAAGCTCAGGGTGATCTCGCGGAAGTTATACTTGTCAATGTGTTCATCTCATCGCCAGACTTCCATATAACAGACTCGACCCAACGAAAGGAGAAGATACCATATAGAAGACCATAGGAACTTCCACATAACACTTAATTGCCACAGCTCTCTTTGAAGTAATTATTTGAACCTCCAGACTCTCTCTCCCCCTAAGCGTATTTTTAGTTTAACCCTTCGAGGAAGGAGTATAGTATGTTAGCCGCATTTATTCTGAGTTGTATCTAACCGCATTTAACCTATATATTATCGCTTTATGTATCATAGCTTAGGCGTTCAATAAATGTTTATTATTTTGTTGAACCTGTTTCCTGTCATTTAAGGACACCTGTCAGCTTCCTCACCCCCTCCCCACTTGATTTGCCCTCCTAGCCATCCAACGACCCCAAGATCGGGTTTTACCAGCCTGTGCAGAGTAAGTGGTAATTTGGGGATTAACCAGTGACCCACTGCTAATCTCTCATATTAATATTGGGTTGTTTGGAAAGTAATTTCGTTTTTTTTTACCACTAGACAGATTAGTGATATTTTTCCTGCTGTTTTCATTCTAAACCATATCATCATTATATATTTTGACAGCTAGCATTTTAAGGCTTATTTCTAAAAAATTTTGTTTGATTTTGTGCAATTGTTTATTTTTTGTGTCCTATCAAATATGGAAGATTGAAAACAGCATTTTCAGCATATTTTGCTCTTTTATTACCAAAAAGGTAAGAATGCTGTTCAAGCAAGAAAAGATGTGTGTGACATGTATGAAGATGATGTATTGACAGAACAACAGTGCCAAAACTGGTTTACAAAATTTCATTCTGGCAATTTCAATATCGAAGATGCACCACGTTCCAAATGGCCAGTTGAAGCCAACGAAAACAAAATAAAGGTACTGATTGAAGCAACCTGCCAAATAACAACACATGAAATCACTAAGAGATGAAATTTGTCAAATCAAACTGTTTATGACTACTTGAAACAAATTGGTTTTGTTTCAAAGCTTGATATATGGGTTCTACATGTTCTTAAAGAGAGATTCTCTCTTTGGTGGAATTTTAAGGAAATTTTTTTTTGAGCTTTTACCAGACAATTTAACAATTGATTCAAAAGTGTACTGCCATTGAGTAAACAAATTGAGTAATATCATCAAACAGAAAAGGCAGCCAGAATTGATCAACAAAACAGGTGTAGTATTTTACCACAATAATGTCAAATTTCACACAAGTTTGGTAACTAGTCAGAAACTGTTGTAACTTAGATGGGACGTACTATCGCACCAACCATATTCGCCAGATCAAGCACACTCAGACTATTACTTGTTCCAGTCTTTACAAATTTTTTTAACTGTAAGATATTTACTTGAAATGACAATGTCAAAAATCACTTGGATCAGTTTTTTGTAAGCAACGATCAAAACTTTTATGAATGTGAAATCATGCTACTACCAGAAACGACGACAACAGGTATTTGACCAAAATGATCAATATATAATTCAATAAAATATTTATTATAAAAATATTGTGTTTTTTCCACAGAAAAAAACAAAATTACTTTCTGAACAACCCAATAGAAATATTGTAGTTGTTCAAAAGATTGAAAAAAACATCTTTTTTTTGTTAAACAAAAAAGTAATGTTATATTATGAATGAGATTTTTTTCTTATGCCATTCTATAAACAGTTTTATTAACTCCACATTGTGGAATTCTATCAATTTTTTTGGCATTCGATAAAATCTCAAAAGGTTCAAACCAAATATTTAAGAAATAACTGGGGAAAACAATTAACTTGATTATCTATTGGTAGAGCCAAATATTCTGACACCACCTTTCCTGGTACATTAGCTTATGAAAGCCATTATATATTGTAATATTTATAATATTGTAACATACAATGTGCTTTGGGAATATATAATATATTGTATCTAGCAATTCATTGAAAGTCGTGAAAAAATTCCTCACGAGGTGATTGAAAATGCAGGCCTTGCCTTTTTCAGTTTAATTTGAATGCATAATCAAATTTTATAGAAACTGATTTAGTACAATTCACATCATAGTAAAGTTATATGTACTTAGCACTGCTAAAATCTGGATAAAAATATTCTAATCTATACTTACGTTTCCAGAAAAGTAACGATCAATAATTTCTAAGGCACTCTTATATACTTCATTATTTTCATGCTGCTGGAGTTCTTCAATTCTATCTAATCCACCCGTTTCTTCTATCAACAAACAAACTTTTTCTATTTCTCCAATTCTTTCAGCTGCCTGTAATAAGCAATACAGCGTATTAAAAACAAAAATAACCACTTTATTCAGTTTTCATCAGCAGAAAATAATAGAATTCAATTTTATTCAAATTTGCTTTTCCACAAACATACTTACTGCAAGAATGTTCCTAAAAGCATCAAGTACTAGCAAAATTATTTTTGCTTCGGGTACCTTTAACATGTCACAGAGTGGTGGAATTACACCTGCTTGAATAATATAAACTATTTGGTCCAATGTTCCTCCACTTGTGAGATTTGTAACGGCCCAGGTGGCTTCTTTTTTGCTTTTGTAATCCCCCTAGAAAGTTATTTCATTATAAATGTTATATTTCAATAAATACAGTTTTAAAACATTACATTTTTGCATATAAATTAATGCAATATTAAGATAATTATAAGATAAATGTTATCTTAAAAAAATCAATTAATATAATCTATAAATTTGAATTTTATTAATTAAATTCCATATGTTATAGCCTGAGAAATAGGTTGTTGGGATATATATCAATTGGAATTTATGAAATTGGATTGAATAGAAAAGTGATTTGAAGTGACAAAAAATAAACTGTGAGGAATCAAGTTCAATATGGTTGGTTTATCAAACGATTATCGACTACAGGTTGGTGAAATCTGCTCACACTGTCATTGGATGGTAATTCATGATATTTTTAAGAGGGACTGGAAATTTTAATAATTTATGGATCTTTTTCCTGACATCAGATAAGAAAGAAATTTTGCATCTTACCTCACGATATAAAACAATTCCCGAGGCAAATTAAACACAAAACTCCAATATAATCTACTTAATTATATTATAAATCCTTATAATTAGAGAGAGTTTACAATAATTGATATATCAACCATATAGAGAGATTATATTAGGTTGGGGAAAAAGAAATCATTATTTTGTCACTAGATGGCTGTAGTGATATATATCTCGTAAAATAATGACGACACAAGTTCAACCTTGTGCTTATTGGAAAAGTGACATTCTGTACTAAACAAAAATTCTTTTACCATTTTTTGATTGGTCAATTAAGTTGTGAGTTATAGGGTGTAAAAGATGGACGAAGCAAAATTGTAAAACATAAATTAGATATGTTTTACAATTTTGCTTCAATAAAAGTGAAAATGCAAGCCAGGCAGCTGAAATTGTGAATGGTGTTTATGGTCCCAATACTGTCACAGCCAATTATGTGCAATTTTGGTTTCATCGATTCTGTTCTGGTAATTTTGATGTTAAAGATGCACCTCGCACAGGTAGGCCTGTCGTCAAAAATGTCGATAAAATCACGAAGTAGACCGGCAGTCATAGCATCACCCAGGAGCTAAAGATTGACCACCAAACAGTTTTAAACCATCTGCATAAGCTGGATTCAAAAAGAAGCTCAATGTTTGGGTGCCACACAAATGGATGCAAAAAAACATGATGGATCGAATTTCCATCTGCAAAGCCTTGGCCAAATGGAACGAAATTGACCCATTTCTTAAACAGATGTTTAGGAAATGGGTCGATTTCAGGAGCTGAATCTGTCATCATCTGACCAAGATGAAGTTAGATCAAAATTTAGTCCTAAATGTGATAAACTTTTCTAAAGGAAGTAAACTGGTGGGAAAGGGAACCAGTTTACAAAATGTATAATTTTAGTGACAAGATATTACATCGTTTTTGATAATTTATAAAAATAAACAACATAATTGAATTCCCTAATAATAAATTTAAACATGAATATAATAAATATGTAAATACAGTACTGTATAATAAAAAAAATTGCATTTAGTGGTCACACAAGTTGACTTTTGACATCTTAAACATTGCTGCCAGATCCACCACATATGTATCACTTTTGTGCTTTGCAAATAAGTTCCTTTTTCATCTGAATCATTGATATTACAACCTTCTTACTTGTTAAATTTTGTTACTTCCACACACTTCTTAGGTGCCATGATTATTAAGTACTGTAAAGGTGATATTGGGTTAAATAGAAAATTTTTACTATTGTTAACAGCAATCATTACTTAATATAGATGTGTAATTTAATTGTAACAGTTGTTAAATTTAACACATTACTGACAATTTGAGATTGTATTCTTTGCTCAGAAGCTTACTTTATGCTTCCAGTGATTTTTCACTGCATCTGCAGTTTGAACTTTGAAGCATCATTTGAATTCTGAAACAAATTTTTATCAAGTTTGGCATTCAAACTCAAGCATTTGAATAAAGGAACCAATGTATTCTTACCTTCTAACCCTGTATAACTATTAAATAAAAGAATTTCAAGATGAAATTTCAACTTACACTTGCAATAATTTCTACAATAGGTTCTATCAGTCCCGAGTCAATAACAGCTTGAATCTGTTTATCATTACCAGCAGTTATATTAGACAATGTCCATGCTGCTTCCTAAAATAAAATATTTCAAATTTTCAGTTATTTAATATAATATATTATTATATACTGTATACAGATATATTTAATATAACTTTTCAATTTTAATTGTTTACTGCCTAGTAGGCTAAATGAAAAACAGCAATATTATGTTAATTTGTGAATCAACTTTTTCTTCTAACCATTAAGATAAAAGCCAAAGGGCAAGAGATAATTCCAGTTTGAAATTATAGTCATTTTCTTATAAATAGATACATTATTTGAGACAAAAATTATTATTCACATGAAACTTTTTTCACTTAGAATGATAGTAATAAAAAAATACATTGAGAAATTCTTGATATCCTTTTTCAATAGTACTACATTAAAAAATAATAATAATTTAATTTTTAAAGTACTTCTATCAAAACTTCACATAAAAGCTTAGCATCTATAAATACAATTGGATAGTGTATGAAATAAATACAGTAAAATCTCATTTTAACAGATTTTTCCCCAGGTCTCACCAAATCATTGTAATTTTACATCCTCTTAGTGGATCCATAATTCAGAATAAAAGATTTTACTAGCCCCACCTATTGTAAACTTTGCATTTTTTTTTTTTCAATGTTTAGATAATATATGGGGTGTTTCAGAAATTCTGTATAGTATGATGATGCACTCCTTACATATGGAATATGTACTGGGTTTGATGGAAATCCATTGTTCACAATATAACGAATTTTCAGAACAGATGATTTTTGGCAGCCTGAGCAATCCATTAAAATGAGATTCTATTATATTTTTGTTGCTTCAAACACAAAAAAGTGCTACAAATTAAGACACTTGGCAGGTTCTCTCATCTTTATTTAGTTGATATGTGTGAAAGTTACACATTTTGGGCTCCTAAGCCCCTCTTCAACCAATTAAATATTAAGACTTGTCTTAAGACCGCCAAGTGTCTTAATTTATAGCACTTTTATTGTGTTTGAAGCAACAACAAAGCTTAAAGCACAGTTTCATATCATTAAAATAAGACTGCTATCTTATTATACTAAGTTAACATTTTTTAAATTAAAAGTTATTAAAATAGATATATTGAAATTTTAAAAAAATGCATCAATGAACACAATCAGATATTCAATAAAAGAATTTTCAGCACAACAGATATTAGTTTTTAACTGAAACAACCTGCACATTTTTCATAGACCCAAAAGAATTTCTATAAAATTATTGTTTTGCATTTTTTAAATTTATATATTATGATGGAGTGAATTGTTTAAATATTTCCAAGCACAAATGATTTATGTTTTCAATATGTCTAATATGAAAGAGAAAAGAAACTGACAATTTTAAAAGTAATTTCATATGAGAAAATGTGGAATATGAAAGAAGAATTTATGCAAAGTTAAAGGGTGACACACAAAAAAAAACCTGATCTGTAGCTTAGCAAAAACATAAGCCAACTGCTGCTATCACAGTCACAGATGTTCAAAATGGTTACATGTCACGTCTATACAGTTATGAATGTCAAATTGGGTTTAGAAACCTCTGATGTAACATAGTGACATTGATGGTGGCAATTGTGTGGCTGGCATCTCTCAGTTTCCGTACTGTGTGTGGATTTGGACAATACACAAAATCAATGTTCACCCAATTCAAGTTCACTCAACTGATGTTTGCTCACTCCATGCAATACATTAGTGCCAGATATTCAAACTAGACCATTCTTTTTCATGCAATACTCTATATTGCAGATCAAATAAAAGCTTTTGAATTTCTAAATCTGCAATCAAAATCTTTTAATTGCAAGAATTTATTATTTTTATCATGTTCAAGTGTTTGAGATATCAGCATAATAGTTGCAAGAAACATGCAGATAAATGCCAAAGATATTCAACACAGGAAAGCATAAACTCTGAACTCAGTTTGAAACGAAAGTCTTCCTGCAGTCTATAAATCAACGTACAAGTAACCCCCGTATAACACGGCACTTCTATAGCACGGATTCACTCTAACATGGTTCAGGAATTGGGTAAAACTCTCATACAACATAAAATGTAATAAAGGGTGCGTTCTTTTATACCTCCACGCAAGCATTCTAATTTTTTCGTAACTACTTTGAATGCTCTTTCAACAAATAATCCATTTAATGGTTAAATTTTACAATTGGGACCATTCTTTTGCCTCTAAAAGCTCATTTTAGAATTATAGATTCCTCCACACAATACTATCGATAATGCGGGCACCGCCATCTTTCTTTCACCGTTGTTCCTAAATGCCTAAAAACAGCAGCGCACTCCCTTTGCAGAGTGACCACTATTAACAAACACACCCACAAACTATGATGATGCTCATGCTGAGCTCATCATATATTGATAGGATGAATAATCCTCTGGTAAAATATTTACTTAATAAATAAGTATTTTACCTATGAAAAAAATGAATAATAAATCCAATTTAAATAAGGATTTAACAGCATGTAAATATTTTACCAGAGGATTATTCATCCTACCAATATAGGATGATCTCAGCATGAGCATCATCAAGATTTAACAGCATGTTTTTTAATTTTTGAAACCTAAAGCCCCTTTTTGCACTAGTTCTTTGTTTCGTATAACACGGATTTGCATAACACGACAATTTTTTGGAACATAACTCCCGTGTTATACAGGGGTTACCTGTATTTGTCTTGATTAAATATCTTAATATGCAAATTAAGAATCAATGGCTTGCATTTAAAATCTTTATCCTTTCTATTTCCTCAAATATATTGTACATAAAACCAGCAGTTCTTAACTTTTCTGACCTCACTGACCACAACTCAATTTTGAATCCTGCAGACCACTATCATGAATTTTTTTTAAACAATACAAACATCTATAGAATAGTGATCATAAAAGTTCCATTTTACTTTATTAATTTGAAAATTCACTTGTTTAATTATAACAAATTAGTGTGAAGTTTGCTATTACTTGTTTGCAACAAGTTTATGAATGCTTAGCTCTTTTCCGCAAAGGACAATAATTGCTCTCTCAACATTATTTAGGTTATTGCTGATTACTGATTTATTGATAAGTCATTTTGTGTTTGGTTTTAGATTGGAATAAAAACTCCAAGTGAGAAAAAGTAACCAAACATTGTTGGACAAATTTGGACATTTCGGTCACCAAAATTTTCTTGTAGACCATCAGTTGGCAACTGCTGTGTAAAACCATCACTTCCTTTATATATTATAGATTTTTCCTTCTTACATAAATACCACTTTTACATATTACACACACATTCTTTGGTTTAATCACATATCAATTCTCAGACTAAAGAACTTTAATGAGCATACACACAATTTCAACCTGAAACATACACATCAGGAACTAAAAAAGATAAATCAGTTACAAACAATGAATTTCCAACTCACATGGTAATCCCCCTTGGTCTATAAAAAAAGCATGCAAAGGCATCCCGTCTCATTTATCTGTTGCAGAGGGATGCTTTATCACTAGAGATGACTTTATGTCACAATCAAAGACCATATGAACAACTAACTGGGTTTGAGAAAGGATCATTAGGTTGAGAGAAGCTGGATGGTCATCTTGCTGAATGGCCTGCCACCTAGGCCATTCTGACAAAACTAAGGTGGTATTGTGACCAGTGGACGAGTAAGCTCATACACATCATCCATGAGCACACCACTAACCTGAGAGGATCACTAGTCCTCTGACAAGCATGACCACAGCCACTGTCTACCATCCAGACAGGTGGCACTATTATTACAGGTCCTATATCTATCTGTCTACCATTTTGTGTGCTGCCATTGACACCACCTACCATCACCTCTGTTTGGAGTGGTGTCACTCCCAGGGATTGGACTGCAATGGAATGAAGTGAGTCATTCTACAGCAACAAATCCAGATTCAATTTGAGCACTGACAATAGCCATGTTTGTGTCTGCAAGTCCCATGATAAAAGTCTCAATCCCGCCTATGCTTTGGAGCGGCACATTGCCCCCACAACTGGTATAGCGATGGTCTAGGGTGCCATCATATACGACATCCAATCACCTCTAATAGTAATCCAAGGAACCATGATACCCAGCAGTAAGTGATATCCTGTAGTCACATTTGTTGCCTTTCATGTCAGGGCTCTCAAAAGCTATTTTCCAACAGGACAATGCTTGACCAAACACAGCAAGTGTCACAGGACTGCCTCTGCTACATTGCTACACTGGCCTGTCCAGTCCCAGTCTATAGCAAATGAACACATCTGGCATCACAATTTGGAGCCTGAGTTTGGCTGAACTAGAGGATCACTTGAGGTAACTGTGGACTGAGATGCTGTAGGACACCATATGGCACCTGTATGCCTCCATACGCCCATATCACTATATTCACACTAGAGGTACTACCTCCTTTCATTTGTAGTTTTCCCTGCAAAAAATAATCCTTTTGCTTTCATTTTGTAATTGCCTACTTATATCACCATTACTCAAACATGTGCATCTTCATTCAATAATTCTGACAACTCTTTGGTGTGCTAATTTTTACAACTGAGTGTATTTAACTGGACACCAAACTAAACTGCTGAGGATGTACAATATGATAAAATAATTTTAAATACAAATAAAATTAAATTTTATTAAATTAGTCATCCTTAAAAAAAAATCACTGTTCTGTTTGTATATACATAATCACTGCATCTTTGATATTTGCATTACAATTGATATTCTTTCCAGATTTTTTGAATAACTATATAATCTAGTTGGTTTTACAGTTGCCTGGCTAATTAATCTAATGAACTGATAGGAGCCATTTCCACTTATAGAAAAGTACTACAGAAAAGTAATACAGAAATAAAAAATTTTGTTTCTACAACACAGTCCAGAAAATCAAGTTAACCCTCTGATGAGTGGGTTTACTTGAAACTCTCCCTCTCCTTCCAAGGTTAAGTTTTTAAAAGGTAACACACAAAGAAAACACTAATATCTCATATCTAATTCACATTTTTTAATAAATGTGAATTAGATATGATTAGATCTAGGCAATATTTTCTTCCTGTGATTCGACTGTGTTGAATAACTTGAATTCAGGAGACATTTAGCATGAATGGTAACTAGATGCCATGTTTATCTTTATGCTAGAAAATTCTATAACAAATCTTGCAAAAACCATGTAAAAAAGTTTTGTAGATCTGTCACTAGCTATCTAAAATTTCATGTTTTCCTGTAAATGTATGTGTACACTACACTGAGACAAACTTGAAGAATGTATACTTATATGTGCTTACAAGAGTAAAGCTCACCACATATATTATGTATATTTACAGATATCAGAGTTAAAATGTTTAACTATCTGTTGTCTTAAAAATGTCAATAGATCAATATGACAGACACAAAATGAAGTGAAGTACTGACCACTTGTAAACATACTGCTACATTAGAAAGTTTTTAGATAGCCATCAATATTTACTTTTTCAAAAAGTAAACAAAGTGGAAGAACTCAAACGAGAAGCTACATGACTAGCAAATAATGTGACCATGCTATTATCCATCTTGAAATTCTGATATCAGTACAATGGCATCAATGTATGTTATTTTAATTTGTTTTCTGCAAAAGACATTTATTTCATTTTTTGAAAATGTAGTAAATAAACAAATTTTGCTTTCCAATGCAATTTTTCTACAATTAGGAATTTGGCTTTTCACTTGAATTAATATATTGATGTAAAAAGTGAAGTCAAGAAATAACACTAATTTTAAGAAAGAAAAAAACTGAAACTTAGAAATGGAGACACCAAAACTAACAATAGAATTCTTTTTCAAATGTCCTTCAGTATAAGAATATAAGTGAGAATTCATGAGCAAAGACACATTTATTTACTTGCAGAAGAATAATAATTAATATTTACAAGTAACAGAAAAGTTTATAATATTGTATAGTTATTTTTTTTCCCTCCCCTGTCCAGCTACTATTCCATTCCATCTGGTTGATAAATAAAACTAATATTATTTGAAGTTAAAAGTGTATCAAACTAACCTTTTGAATATTTATTTTAGTATGATTAAGTAGTTTATGAAATGATGGAAGAGCACCACAGTCTATGACAGTTTGAGTCTGTACATCATTACCAGTAACTATATTTCCTGTTGCTCTTAAAGCTGGAGTTACTACTGCCATTTCTGAACATTCTAACAATTCAGTCAATCGAGGAACAACACCTGCATTAATAACTTCTTGAATCATTTCTTGGGTGCCATCACTAATATATGATAAGGCCCAACAAGCATCAGCAACAACTTCTTCATCTAAAAATTTATCAATAGTTATTAAAAATTTAGCAAAATAGAATCTATCTACATGTATAAAAACAAGTACCTGAATGAAATATTAATTGAGCAAGAGCTGGAAGACAAGCTTGGACTACTTCAAAAGATGGAGGAGGATTTTTATTACGACATAAATTTGATAATGTCCATGCTATATTTCTTAAAAAAGGAACCTGAATATATTTAAAATATCATAAATTTAATAAAATTCCTACTAATTAAATAAAATTATTTATCCATACTTACTGGTGTATCAGGATTAATAAGTTTTAATAAAGGTGGAAGAATTCCACGTTGAACAACATAATCTCTCAAAGTTGAACCATCACCTAAAAGATTATTAAATTTTATATATATTTTATATGATACATATGAATAGATAAATATTTATTTTAAGCATCTATCGTATGAGAAACCTTTTTGCTGCAAAATGAAATATTTTAGTATAGCTAATCAAATCAGTCAGCAAATATTCAAATATTATGAAAAGAACTTGAATAATCAACAGGGTTAAAAATTTGGTGACTTTTATATTAGGAAACAAGAAATTCATCTACACTGAGTAAATTATTTCAGAATTTATTAATAAATGTCAATAAAACAGGCTGACTGTTACATTTTCATCACTTAATGAAGAAAAATTCATGTGTACAAATCTGGCTCTTAATGACTGCCATAAACCTGCTGCCTCATTCTAAGTACCTTGGTAAAATATTTTCCTGGTTTCACATAAAACTTAATGACATACTGTTCTTCATAGATACACAAAAAATTGCAGAACATAACCAAAAAGGTTTTACTCAACGTGCAGAGCAATGACTGACTATGATATAATAATGTAATAAATGTGACGATACAGGACAAAGTTTTTGCTATGCAGGAATAGAAGTCATATGTCATTACTATACTCCATTTATGTGGAATTTCAAAGTTTTGAAACTTTTCAAACAGACCTTCATATAGTACAGAATAGTTTTGTTTAAAATTTAAATATGTAAACTGAGCAAAGGTAATCTTAAAAAAATTACAAATGCTAATTATTCTAAAGTATTAAAAACATTTTAAATTTTCATTAAAATGAAAAACTTGTTTAATCCAAAATAAAATTCTTTAAATTTTGAAATGATATGCACAAAGGACACATCCATTACACATGCTACTGTTCAAATAAGGAATCTTAAAATGAAAATCTTATAATTTATTTTGTGAATTATTAGCAAAATTTCAAAATATTAAATATAAATTCATTTAGCAAAACTTAAAAATATTCAGAAAAGTAGCCGGAAGCTCTAAAACTAATTGAAACAAACTTGACAAGACTATAATAATTTGTCACATTGATATCAATGTGACAAATTTTAAAGCCTGTTAGAATTTTGTTTTAGGAATTATTTTTCTAAATATGATTATTGACAGTACTTTACCTACTATATTTCCTAATGCCCAGACCGCTTGCTCACAAACATTAACATGAGGAGATGATAAAAGATTTATAAATGGTATAACAGCTCCAGCACTAACAACACATTGAGTTTGTTCAGAATTACCAGAGGCTATATTTGTTAATGTCCAAGCTGCTTCAAATTGTAGAGCAGGACTGTAAAGTTAAAAGAAAAAATTATTAAATAACTGGAATTTAGAAAGTAATTTAACAGAAATTATTTTGAATATTTGGTTAACTTTATTATAGATTAATAAAAGACAATTAAACAAGATTTTTCCTGTTAATGTTAAAATCTTTCTATTCTTAAATGTTCATAATGTAAAAATTAATGTTACATAAAAGTGATTACAAAATAAAAAATATGTATTAAAATTGTTCTCTTGTTGTGCTATATAGTATGAAATTGAATTTCAATGGACTAAATTTTATCTAAATATCTATGCAAAATTAAAAATAAAATTATAAGATTATCAAATACTTTAAAAGAACTATTTTAACAAAATTATTAAGAATAGTTAATAAAATTAAATCAATGTTAGTTTACCTAATTTTCAGGATGTTAAAATTAAAAGGTAAAATTAATTTTTATAGCAATTGTTCCTATTTATACATAATCTTTACCTGTCATGGCAACTTAAAAATTCAACAAATGTAGGTAATAAACCAGCTTGAATTATAGAATCAACAGGAGGATTTATTTCTCTAGACAAAATTCTACGAGCAGACTGAGTAGCCTGTAATTTGAGTTCAGGATCTGGACTGCATACTCCTTGAACAATCTCTTCCATAGACATAACTGGTATCTAATTATAGTAATTTTCAAAAAGTTTATTCAAAATCATCAAAAATTTGATCATCAGTAAAAAACTTAATATATAAACAGTATGTACTGTCTGTTAAAAAATAATAATAATATGTTTAAATTGATATAAAAAGAATTTAATCTTACAATTCTTATAGTTTTCTAATGTTAAACATATGAAGTAAAATATTCTTAATAAAGTATTAGATGATTTTAATTATAATTCCAATGGACAAAATTTTATTTTGTTGTAAATGTTTTTCTGATCAAATTTTTAAAAGCTTTGAAGTTATGAGCATATAGTGTCATTCCAAGACACATTTGTATATACTTAACAGGATTAAGATTTCATTAATTTACGAAATCAGCACATATTGTATGAAGTTTACATACTCATTTTAAATTTAAAAAAATACATACCTTATTTTGTACAGGACTAAGAGACTCATTTTCATCTGTAATAAAATTTCTTCTTTTCAATAACTGATCATCTTTCTTTTGTTTTCTTAATTCTATATTTATTTCAGTTCGTCGTCTTCTCATTTCCTATAGAATGCATTTAAACATATACTTTATTATAATTACAGTTTACATTTTAATAAATTATTTAACTTTTAAAACTCAAATTTTATATAATTCATAATTGAAGACTTCTGAATATAGTTACCGAAATTCAAGGTAATGATGATTTGTCACTGTAACATAATATCAATTTACACTATGCCTACACTTTATTCATATATGTGTCAAACAATTTTTTGACAAAAAAAAACAAAACATTTTTTTATAAATCTACAATTAAATATTCAAGTAATTATTCCATTTTTTGGTGGTTTTGTTTTCAAAGCTTACATGTTTGGATTGGACAGCTGTTTCTAGAATAGTATAAACCACAGGTTCTCAAACTTATTTCGACCACCGCCCACTTTGAGATAAAAAAAAATCTAGTGACCCCATATTTTTAAACTTTTTACATTACCATCTATTGTATATCTTAAAAACAGTTATTGCAAATACAGTATAATGTTTAAACATGCATTATTATATGGATAGGATAGATAGGGTGTGGCTCATATCCTATTTATGAGATCAAAGAATGTTTCAATGAGAAGAAATAAAACTAATATTTAATCACTGAGCCTTCTACTGCCCCCCGAAAGCCTCCAGCGCCCACAAGGGAGCGTTATCGCCCACTTTGAGAAACGCTGGTATAACCATAATTAAAAATGGATGCAATACAGAAACATCTATATATATATAAAGGGCATATTGAATGTGTATGATATGTTTCTTATTCAAATGATGGATCTAAAATTCTGTCCTCAGGAAATGATGGAATAATATGGGATTTTACCAAATTTATTGGTTATTCTAGAATTGGATTAACTAAACATTTTTCTGTTATTTTTCATAATGAAAACTTGACTACTGCAACACCCGATGAAACTAACTGTATTCAGATTCTTTCAGATTTAGAAGGAAAATTGAGTAAAACATTAATGATTGAAAAGAGAGATGGTGACATTACTACTTGTTGTCTATCACAGGGGTGGCCAACTTTTACGTACAGACAATCTACTTTTTATCTTAAAAATGTGTCATGATCGACTTGTTGTCGTAGGGTTAGTCTAAGTGACGAGGGGGTGGTGAGAAATACATACTACGTTTAGATAGGTAAGAAAAGCCACAACTTATTTAAAACATGAAGAAAAGGTACTTACGTTGTAAACAGAATAAAAATTGAAACTCAACGTTATCACTTTCGGAACCACCACTTCACTCTTCCTCTTTCTACTGTGTCCCGACTACTCCCTCTGTCCACTTTTTTTTTGGTTTTACGATCCTTTGTCTACATTTCTTATTTCCCTTTTACATCTGTACGCAAATGAATATCACATGGACTGACAAAGCCGCATCTGAGGGAGGACGCGGTGGTCCAATATCACTACATTTGCATTTGCGTGTTACGTTCGGTTACAAGTGTAACACATTAATTGAAGACATCGCGAGCAATCGACCAAAATTGGCTTTGCGATCGACTTGTTGGCCACCCCTGGTCTATCATATGACTGCTCAAAAATTATTTATGGTTTATGTTATTGAAACAGAAGAAAATACAAACTATCCAGGGCATAATTCAGAGGTGATCCATTCTGCATTTTATTCCAATAGTAGGAAATTTGTTACTTGTTCTGCAAATACACTTTTAACAATTTGGAAGAACCTAGAAAATATGTTACCTGTGTAGGTCACACAAAAAAAAAAAATTAACTACTTCAAATTATTTTCTTGTAATAAAAAAGTGTCATGCTCATCTGATGGAACAACAAGGGTTTGGGATAACAAAACATGTGCAGAATTATTACAATGTCACGATCACAAGATGCAGACTGTCACTCATTGCGATGTATCTCCAGACGATAAATATATAGCTTCTTCAGTGGATAAAACAGTTGTTGTATGGGATGCCGAATTATTCCATTTTTTTTTTTAAATAAGGAACGCTTCACGATTTTGCATGTTATCCTTTTGCAGGGGCCATGCTAATCTTCTCTATCATTCCAATCTTAGAATATGTACGACCAAAGTTGTCACCCAACTACCAACATTTTACTTTTATTTGAAAATTTATCAAATGTTTATTTTATAATTCTTTCATATTTATTGCAATCAAAATATTGACTGATATTCCCTTTTTTCTCAAATGTAAAAGCAGTATGTAAATATTTGTATAGATAAATCATTAAATTAATACATAAACATTTGTTTTACTAAAATTATCAGCTGTGTTTCAATTATTTTTTTTAATGCTCACTTAGTACTCCTTTGATGCTTTTGAAGCCTGAAGCACTAAAAATTCCAAAATTTGAATGTTTGTTAATTTCATAATGTAATGGATATAAATTATTATATTTATTTTCTTTTTAATATTTATACGTACAATCCAATAGATCAAAAAAGAAACCATGATAATTTGAGATAAACTGTAGAGAAGTTTTGTAAAACTAAAGTATTTTCTAAATATTCAAAATATGACATACCTCATTATCTTTGCCCTTGTGCTTAAAGTTTCTAAGTCTGTTACTTTCTTGACCAGGCATTTTCAGTTCAAGCTGTAATTTATTCAATATTTTGTTAGAAAATATAAAAATATATTAATTATATTTTACAACTGATTTAATGAATTCCAGAACTTAAATTATAACTCATAATTTGTCATTAAGTTCTGGAATACCTTCACTACAGATAATAGATTTTCATTCAAATACTTTCATTATTATAATACATTATCTACACAGACAATTAGCTCCATTATGCACATGGAAACACATATAATCAGCACTATTCTTTTGCCTATTTTTTTTGTTGAGGTTATATACCTGTCTCTCACATTAGCTGTTAAGATGTCACTGACCTATCTTTCAACAGTATTTTTAATTTGTCTTATTGTTTTTATTTGTTTATCATATGCTGAACATTGCTGGAATCAGTGAATTGTGTATCCATAAAAGCTAATCATAAAGAGGTAAACAAAATTTTATAGAAATAATCTGAAAACTAATAAAATCACAAATTCTGAGTATGCTATCTCAAATATTTCACCTGAAATACAAAGGCGGTGACATTTTTTCATTGAGAATTGAACAACTTCAAGATACTGCTACAAACAGCAGCATGGCATTTTTTGGATTGGTTATGAATATGGTAGAACTTGCAATTTAATCAAAATTAATCAACAAGAAAATATACAGAAGTGTGGCAAATAGATCTACAATGAGCATTCAAACACAGTTTGCAACAATTACTTACAATAAATGTAAAATAAAAACTCAAGCTGTAACAAATTTTGTTTCCTTGTTTTTCTATTTTCCCACCAGTGGCAGAATGAATAAAACTACTGATCAATGACAGTTAATATGGGTTCTTGCTTGACCAACTAATCATGGCATTTTCTGGATTTTCTTCAATTTGGCCAGTTTTCTATAGCAAGTCTTCCTGGCAGGAACTGCCCCTTGGTAATCATCCAAGCATTGTATTGCTATATACCATTTTTTAATATTTAGAAAATACACATTATTTCTGTTTATAATTAGATAACAAATTAAGATACATGTATAAATTTCACAAATTTCATTATGGATTACGGCTGTAATCCATATGCCTACTTTTCTAATAAGAGAGGACATACCCAATACTGAATTAGTAAAAATCATTTAATATAATATTAATTGCTTTTATAACAATTAAGAAAGTTTAAACTATATGTACTGTACATAATCTCAATTTTCTACTTTTAAAAATTAGTTTTATATACTGTATATCTTTAACTTATTTAGACAAATTCTAATGATTGCAGCAATTGTAATAAATAGAGATTCAATAATATTCCAATAACTTTAAAACAAATGACAATCAATATTTTTTCAACTTAAAATGAAATTTTTTAAAAATATAATAGCAATAATCAATTGCAAAAACTTGCTATTTACATTAGAATATGGTTTTTTATAATACAGGTAGCCCTCAGTTTACGCCGGTTCAATTTACGCTGATTCACAATAACGCCGCTGCGCAATTCACCGTTTTGAGGTGTAATTCCCCAATTTTCCCTATGCTAAACTGATTTTCATTTCAGTGTTGACGTATTTACCGAGCCGCAACATTGTACATTCATTAAAACAAAGATTTTTATTAAATATATTTATTTTTTCTGTTTAATATTATTGGGTATGTATACATTTGCATTAAATTAATATTAAAATACTAAACGTTTAGGTACCCA